CACTTCTCTATGTTCATTCATACTGAACACGATATAGTTGATACTCGATATTCCTTTGAGGATTAATTATCTTGTGCAGTTGTGCCAATGATCTTGTTAGTTTATTGTTGGGTCAACTCGGCAAACTAATAGGATCAACCACTGAGTGCAGAATGGATTTGACATTTAGAATCAGATTGTTCAACAGTGGTGTCAGTTCTGCACATGCAAACAGAAGATATACATTCTTTTCAGTGAAACAAATGCTTTGATAATTTGATGTGCCTTCTTCTGGAGGTGTGATGCGTCATGTTAAGATAGTGTAATCGAGTAGTTCATGAGCTTGCTAATTTAGCTAAGCATATGGTGTACCGTTTGGTCTGGAGGGACCACCGGACCAGGCAACTGTTTGTGCTAGGGAGCTGCTCATTTGTACTTGTAATGAGTCTACCCGAAGCTCCCTTTCCAAACCAAAAAGAAATAATCAATATGCACATTTGTCCTTATAGCTAAGCATCTACTTTGGGATCGGGATGACACAAATAGCTGCATGAAAATCTCAGACCCTTGCCCTTACACGTCACATGTTGTTACACCTTGTATTCTGACACTTACATATGCTAAGAGCTAATATTTTTTTCTCATTTTCAAATAACAGGATTTGCTTGTATTCTGGAGTTACTGGCAGAACCATTATACATTATTTCTCAGAAAAAGAAATACTATAATATAAGAGTGTACGTTGAACCGACAGCTACACTCTTCCGTTGTTTAACAACTTTCATCCTCATAAAAGGACATATTAAAGTGGTAATAATCATGAGCCATTTACTTTATTGAATCTCTATTGTAGTTAATTGCCTAATTTACTCTTGTTCTTTTAGCTTAAAATTTTACTCATGTTATGAACTACTTTAAGCTCATCTTAGAAAAATAATTATTCTTTTCTTATTGTTTTTATTGATGAATACAGGACTAAAATAACAATTTATTTTCTTGCAGAACAAGCTGGTTCTAGTTTCTCTGTCCCAGGTTGTCTATGGGGCCTTCATTTTCTTTGGGTATTGGTCATATTTTCTTATGTTTACTGATACTAAACCTTCAGATCTTTTTCCGTTAAGGTTAGTTGTCAAATTGTTTTTGTATATTTTTTGTATTTTGTATTATTACGTTTGATTTCTCACTAAGTTCAGTTCCATTTGATTATCGATGCCAAATATGCCTATTGTCAGGTTATCAAACCTGATGGACTACGATAAACAGTTATTGCACATGTGCATGTTGTTTACAGGCCAGGCTTTCAGGAAGTTGATACTTCAAGAAGGAGAGAAATTTGTTCTTGTGTCATTTGATACTCCGTACAACCAGGCTGCCTATGGTATTGTGGATAAATTAGGTAAGCATAAGAAGAATCTTTTTTCAGTTACTTTTGTCTGCTAGTATTGTAGTAGATGAAATTAATATATGTATTCATTTCATTTCATTTCATTTCTGCAGGTAGTCTGGTTGTTAGGATAGTGTTCTTGCCATTTGAGGAGAGTTCATATGCCACCTTTGCCCGATTGGCAGGTTGTTTCTTGTATACTTGAACTTTGGGCTGACTATTGTTTTACCTCAAGCTTTTGGCCTGATTGAACTTTGCACTCACATTATTGGTATGGGCTATTATATCTGGAGAAGGCACTATATTTTTTTTTTGCCTACTAAGCATCTATTTAATATTAACAAAAACTACTGGGATACTGTACTGTCATTATATCTTTTAATTTATATTTACCTGTATGACATTTGTCAACAGGAGAGAGTCCCCGAAATATATCCAATATTGAAGACTCTCTGCTTGGGGCTCTAAAGCTTATTATGCTAATAGGTACATTTTTTTGACACAATTAGGCTTGTATTCCAGCATCAATCTACTCACACAGCTTATTGTTTAAGAATCAGTCAATTGGATTGCTTGCGTTCTTCTTAAGAATAACTTTTATTTGCTATCAACTTCCTTGTCCTTGTTCATTCAAGAACTTCACAGTCACTGAATATAGTCATTCTCTAACTGTGCAGGTTTGGTGATCATTTCATTTGGTCCCAGTTATTCATATACCCTTCTAAAACTACTCTATGGGGAAAGACACAGTGATGGAGAGGCTCCAGTTATTCTTCGTTACTATTGTTTATATATCATCAGTTTAGCGATGAATGGTTTGTATTCATTACATCCACTTTGTGATTATTTCATGATTGTACTATATTTTTCATAAAGTTAGTTAGTTAATGTATATTTCTTTTCTACTTTGGCCTAACAGTTTATAGTTGCCTCTACTTATGTTGTTAAATTTTTTATCAGTTTTGATGCATATAGCACAGTAGACAGGCAGCAGTTTAATGACCTATTTGGTCCCTGTTCGATATGATAGCAATTACTAGGTTGCATAGTTGCTGTTACAAATGTTTAACTTGGCTTATGTTATGCATTTGTATAGTTGAGTACTGGGTAATCTTATCTTAACATAGATTATCATGAATGCTAGTAAGTGGTTCCAGTACAGATGGAACTATGCTGATTATGTTCATTTGTAATTTCAGGCACTTCTGAAGCTTTTCTTCATGCTGTTGCAAATGAAAACCAGCTTAAGCAGTCAAATGATATGTTGCTTCTGTTCTCGGTGATTTACATCATTCTAAATGTTGTTCTTATTAAATCTTCTGGAGCTGTTGGGTTAATTGCTGCAAATTCCATTAGTATCCTTTGATTAACCACTGTCCAGTCTACGATTCTAAATTTCTTGAATGCATTTTTTCCCTGCATAACTTGATTTGTGCCTTGACTGTCTGTAAAGATATGTTGCTACGAATAACGTATTCTGCAATGTTTATAAAAGATTATTTCAAGGTATAATTTTGTTTATATTTCACATCGGGATCTCCCAGGTTCTGTTCTTAAATGGAATGTAATACCTGATGATATTGTTTACAGGGCTCATTCTCTTTCCGGCGTTGTGTGCCAGCAGGTTGGGGCATTTTACTCATTTCTGGTCTTACCACTGTTTTCTCTGAGAGGGTTTTCTTGAACAGAACGAGGTTCAAGCAGACTGTTCCCATTCACATAGCGGTTGGCATCATGTGCCTGAGCATCGCATCATTTGAGATGTAAGCACCAGATCACTGCATAAATAAGCATTTGCTCATTTTTTTTACTTGTGATAATCATTCTGCTGCGCCCTGTTTGAACAGATACCGTGGTGAAAAGCAGTTCCTGAGGCAGATAATCAGAACTTTGAAGCATCGTGACAAAACTCAGTGATTTGAAGACAGTGCATTTCATAGCATATTCTGGCTTGAACACCTGATGAAAGAGAACTGGTAGTATAGTGGGTGACTAAGTTGATAGTGTGTATGCAGGAGATCGGTAGTTAACAAAAGAGGAGGATTAATTAATCGGTCAGATAGATAAATTGGTTGCTTATGGGAATTGCTGATTTTTCTTGTTGACTCAATCTTTATATTACAGATCAATTGAGTTAGTGATTCTATATTTATAATTAAAGGAAGAAGTTTAGGTTAAAACTTTTGACCAAGGATTTTTCCCTAAATCTTTGACACCTTGTACAGGAAGGCTAGCATATACAATGGATCGCCCTTGAATACTATACTAATTACTAAGTTCCCATGCTACAAATCAGGTTTCTCATCAGGAAATATAGGAATGCTCGCTATGGTCAGCACCACAGATGCATTGTTTTGTACTCTTACTGAAAGTGGAGGCTGTTCTGCTGAGCAACTTGAGGCAGTCTTCATTGCAAGGTTGTCATTATCAAGTTTCATCAACAGTGGCAAGGTGCTCAGTGACATCTTCACTATTAGATTTAGAATCGGAGGAAGCGTAGAGCTGTTCATACTATTGTAATGTGTATATTTAAATTTAGGATTAATGTGTATATATAAATTTCAAGTTTCATCAATAGTGCCAGTGTATATATACAATTCAAGTTTTCATGTGTATCCATGAAATAACGCCGCGGCGTTAGCACGAGCATTGTACTGGTACGAGCATTATAATTATACTAGTTTTGTTAAGAAGAACAGCTTGGTTCAATATAGCCACCGAGCCAGATGCCCAGATGGATCCCCAAGCGACCAAGCCCAACGGCTGGAAGCCATCCGGCGCCGGCCCAATATGCGAATCAGCTGCTAATGCCAATCCTATACTATATAATAACATTTTGCATTAGACCATTGGAAGTGTGGGTGTGGTGTTGGGAATTTATCAGGTGGTGAGCTGTTACCGAGAGATTCAATAAACTGATATATCTGATATTTGCTTGTGATCAATCAAATCGAACTGTGCTGCTACTGCAATCAGTAAATCCTATCAACCATATTGCTGCATTTGTGGATTACTGTATTACTTTGCCGCAAATGGATTGATGCTTCTGTTGTAGGTCTAATCTGTTGTCGCAAATATTGCTGCAAAAATGTTTTAGTCAAATCTGTTTTAGCAAATGATGAAATGCTAAAAATAAACACCAAAATCCGGCAGATGGGACCCCAACCGAGAAAGCCGAACGCATGTGGAGAAAAAAAAAAATCCGGCCTCGATTTCGACTTGCCCTCACGACAACTGGCCCATCCATTCAACTTCGGGTCGGACTCGAAAGCGCGTGGCTGGGCCAGATCTGAGATCCAGCCCAGCTGCTTAAATCCAACGCCCTCCCCTTCCCTTCTCCTCGCGCGTAATTCCTCTGCTCGCTCGCCGTCGTCTTCCGCAATCCACCCAGCTTCCCTGCTCACCCGCCGTCGTCTTCCGCAATCCTCCCAGCTTCTCTGCTTCTCGTCGATCCACAGCTCTCCCCCGCCATGGTGATGTACCTTCCTCCGCGCTCCTCTTCCGCGGGCATGCGGAGCATCCGACGCGAGCTCCAGCGCAGGAGGTCCAAGCCCTTGGCGCCCACGAGGTCGGTCGCCAAGAAGCCGTCCGCGTCTCCACCGTCGCGTCACGGATCGATCGACGCCGTCCGGGGTCCATGCCGTCGTTCACCGTGCCAGGAGGTACTATCGTCGACGATCTCCCATTCCCGAGTTTCCACCGTCACCGACGCGTCACCACAGCCCCGGCCTCGCTCTTCGTCGCGCTGCAACCCCGCGTCCCAGCACAGCTGAAGCCTGGGACGGTGGTTCGTGTCCGCACGAGGACTGCGAAGCTGAAGACGGGGCAGGTTCTCGTGCTCTGCCTCAAAGCCACGATCGTGTCGTCGTCCACCGACGGAGGCTACGAGGTTGTCTACGACGCCAACTTGCCACGCGGCGATCCCAAGAGCACCGTCCACGTCGCTCCGCACCAGGTCAGGGTGATCGATCCGTCTCCGTCGCTGACAACTCCACCGCGGTCCCTGCCTCCGCCCACCGCCACTGTCGCCGCGACTACGAAGAAGGAGATGCCGAGGCCAACCACGGCAGGGAAGAGCCTGCGCCTCATCCGCAGCCTCTTTCCGGAGATGGAGCTTCCGGTCCGGGCTTGGCCTGTCTTGAATCGGATACTAGCTGGTAGCTGCTGCGTGATTCTGCGCTGGATTTTATAGTGAATTAGTGATGCATTGCTTGTTCGTTCATGAGTAGTCTCTGTTTTTGTTTGATTAGTTCATGAATCGTGCAAGTCCCAAGTGACCGTGTGTTATCGGCAAAACTAAACTGTCAGCATACGGTTGGTGTAAAACTTTCCCCTTTTGGTGATTTATATGTATGGTTGTATATGATTATATATTTGTAAACGTATGTTCTTGAAGACATCATGGACTGCTTGATTCGTCTGAGCGCTTTCTTATGTTTTTGCTTCCCAATTATCTCAAGATATGTTTGAGTTGCTGCTAGTCTTCATAGCGTTTGTCACCACTTTGTGCAGAGAGTAATCTGGTAGTATTTTTCGCAAGAAAAAAGTAATCTGGTAGTATCTCTGTTTTTTTTTCTTTTGATGCTTGCTTGTGATCAATCAAGTCAGTTCTCGCAACCAAACTTAGTGTAATATATTTAGCTGATATTGCTACTATCTTGTCCGATATATCAGATTTTGTGACAAATCAAGCAGAAATACTTGTGATCGTGTATGACGTTATTTGATTTGTTCCTTTGATGGAAATGAGACTCTTCCCCTGTGTTTGATAAAGGTGTATTCGCCGGAAGTGTGACAGACTGACAGCTTGTTTGGCTGGCTATGCTATTTCGGCACAGCTGAGTTTAAAAACAATTGTTCGTCAGGATTTCGGTGATATCAACTTTTGCCGTGCATTTGTGAATTTGAAGAATAAATAGTGGTGGGCGTTATTCAAGAGGGCCAGTTTTAGGGCATGGTGCTCTTGATTTGATACAAGTGCCATAGACCCATAGTTCTGTTTATAGTACATTAGTGCATAAACTGCAAGGACCGTCAAAAGAAAGCGTGGTAGGCTGGTAGCCCAAAAGTCTGAATGCATCCCTTGAATCTTGAATTGTGATCTTCTGCTCTGAATATATATCCCTTGAATCTTGAATTGTGATCTTCTGCAACAACTCACTTGAGAATTGGTACTTCCGAAGAAAAATTCAAGAGTTTTTGTGTACACAGTGTTGAAGCTAAGAGCAACAACACAATGGCAGATGGCACAATCTCACGACAACCCTTGCCAGTGCTAACAGGGACTACAATTCATTCAGTGCCCGGGACTCTGAGGAGCCCTAGAAAATAAATAAAAAGAATAAAAAATTAACAACAACCAATTCTGAATGGATTCGCTGTGCACATGGTGCTACTCTCCATTCATCCTACTCATCAGTAATGGCTCGGCTGTGCTGAGCTCCTCAATGAATCTGACGAGCCGCTCAAGTTCCACCGCCGACGAGCCCCCACCGGCGACATCCCGCCTCACCTGCTACGCCAACGCCGGCGCCGAGACCTTGATCACCACGGACTCCATCGTCCTCTGCACGACGGCCCCGTCGCACACGTCCTTCATGTCGAGGCCCGTCCTCCACGCGCTCCCCACCATCCGGCTGTTGATCTGCTGGTCCATCGGCGAAGAAGGGCCAGCACACCATGGGCACGCCCTCGACGACGCCCTCCAGCGTCGAGTTCCACCCGGCGTGCGGTGCGTCAGGAAGCACCCGACCCGATTCCTCCTTCCTTCCTCTCCAGGAGAGACTGGGCGAATCTCAGGGATGGGCCGACGGGGTTGATTGCCGACCGCCTCCTCGGCGACGATGTTGCCGACTATGTCTGCTTCCTCGCAGTTTGCCGTCCGTGGTGGCTGTGCTGCACGGACCCTCGCGCGTACGGCGTCCTGGACCGCCGCTTCCACCCGCGGCACTGGGTCATGCTCAGGACGAAAGGAGGAGGCGGCGGCGGCGGCTCTTCGTTCCGCCGTGGTTTCATGAATATCTCCACCGGCCGTTGTAGATACGTGGACCTCCCGGAGCTCCGCGGGCAGGAGGTGTTCGTCCCCACCGCCGAGGGCCTCCTGGTCCTCCTCGACAGAGCCACCCCCTATGTCGTCCGCCTGCTGAACCCCTTCACCCGCCACACGCGGCCGAGCTTGTTGGAACTGAGGATCGACGGACGATCACTGAGTACATGAACAATAACTTGCCGCGACGAACGTCTGTATCTTGGCTTCTATTATTCAAACACACGACTCGGCTCACTCTAAAACATGAGCCTACGTGGCCAGTTTATACCCACGGCAACGCAGCGCCCATGCACCCACCTTGCGAGCTTCACGCGCACGTACGCATGGCAGCCTGGACGACCTGGTTTCATGCGCTCGTGAGCCACATACTTCTTCACATGAAGGGTCTCCATCCTTCTCTCGCGTGGCGTGCTCCTGCATGCGCTTAACCGCCAACGACTTTACCTCTAGACTCGATCAGCCTACACACGCATGCACTTGATGAACGACATGCAAGCACACACACGCTAACTAACCAACTGATTTGAACCCCCACTCCAAGTCACCCCCATCCTGAACAAGAGTTACCTGGAGAGTGCCAGCATTATCAACGAGCGGTCGTTTGATGTGTCTGGTGCTGGCCTCGCCGACGGCGGCTCCACCGTTGCGGTTCATTTCAAATGGATCCGAACGCTTGCCATTGCCAACACTAATACAGAGACGGGCTTTACTCCCGGTGGGGAACCCCCTCTAGTTCCGGTTCCTCATCCGGGAGTAAGCATCCGGGACTAAAGGTCCTCCCAGCTTTAAAAAAAATAATACCTCCCACCGCTGCGTCCCGTGAGATTCGAACCCAAGACCTCATGCATTGCCTCGCGCGTAGCTTACCACCCCACCTACACAACACATCTGACAATGGATGGGATGCTTCCCTTTTGAACTAACACATCGGGGGACCTTTAGTCCCGCTTGGTGGCTCCAACCGGGACTAAAGGGTCCTTTAGTCCGGGTTGGTGTTACCAACCGGGACTAAAGGTTGAGGATTTTTAGTCCCGGTTGGTGGCTCCAACCGGGAGTAAAGGTCCACCTTTAGTCCCGGTTGGTGTCTCCAACTAGGACTAAAGGTCCCCTGCCACTGTGCCGAGCGCAGTAGCCGTTGGGCAGGGACCTTTAGTCCCGGTTGGAGGCACCAACCGGGACTAAAGGTCTCTCTAGTCCCGGGCGCAAAAAATGCCAGGACTAGAGTACATTTTAACCTCGAATGAAAGGTCTGTTCTCTACTCCAGGCGATGAGCATTGGATCGTGGTAGACCAAGGCAGATGGCTCTGCCTAGCCTTGTCTTTCGCCGGTCGCTTCTATTGTGCCACCTCAAAGGCCGTGATAGTGCTGGAGACTGGCACTGGCGTTGACCACTCACCACCACGCCTGGCTGTGGCTGCTGAGCTGATGAGGCCCTTCTCGAGGTTCATGATGGACACCATGCACCTGGTAGACAATGATGGGGAGCTGATGCTCGTGGACCGTGGATGCAACGGCAGCAGGAACCCAAGGAAACACAGGGTGTATCGGGTGGACTTGGATGCCAGGAAGATGCTGCCCATTTGTCAAGGGCTCAGTGGGGGTGCCATGTTCATCGGCATAGAAATGGCACTTTCTGTCGGCCTTCAGTATTCCCATCCATCGGCATAGAAATGGCAGGTCCCGCGCCGTCGGGAGGGTGCGACGAAACATAAGAAAATAACTATTGGTTTCATAACTAGTGGTAGGGGTAATTTTTTACCCCAAAAGCAGCTCAAAGCAGGAGAAAAGCTACTTTCAGTTTTGTACTAGAGCAAAAGCTGCTTTTGGACAAAAACAGATGTGGCTTTTAGACCTTTTGGTTGGCTTTTGGCTTTTGCAAAAATAAAAACAAATTCAAAAGCCCAATCAAACAAGGTCTTAGGATTCAGCAGTCTATTGAAAGATCACATGGACAACAGCCCAATCTACCATATACCTTTATTTCTATCTACCATATAGATGCCTGTTAAAAATGTTGCATGGTCAAAAAGAGATTGTGTATAAATTGTGGATACTAATTCAGGCATGAAATATCTACGTACATGTGCCTGCCGGTGACCATGGCCGCGGCCACAGACCATAGGAGCAACAATTTCTTTACACAATGAAAGATGCTATCATCTATGGTTCCGCTTATAAAGGAAAAAGTCCGTTTTTAGCCCTCTAACTATGGCTACAGTTTGTTTCTAGCCCTCTAACTCGAAAATCAGACACGCGCAGTCCCTTAACTCTCAAAACCGTTTAAAATTGGCCCTCGTGCACCATTCGACCATGGTTTCGGCCCAGTCAACCCGCCACGACCGTGGTTTCGGCCCAGTCCTCATCCCTTCGCGACTGCCGCGCGGTCAACGAGCGAGAGCAGAGAGGGAAGGAGAGAGAGAGAGAGAGAGAGCGCAGGGCGGAGCGGAGGGGGCAGAGGGCACTGGGGCGCCGCCGGCGGTCCTGGGGCCTCGGCAGAGCAGGCTCCGGCGTGAGCTGGGCGGCAACGGCGCTTGGCATGGAGGCGGCGGCTCGCAGCAGCCCAAGGCGGCGTCCGTCTCGGCGAGACGGCGGCTTCAGTCGCGCGGCGGCATGGCAGGCGAGGGCGGCTACGAGCCGGGCGTGGAGCGGCCGCGGCCGGACCTCCACGGCGTCGAGCGGCCGCGCACGGGGAGGCAGACGTTGAGCGGCCGCAACCGGAGCTCCATGGCGGACCTCCACGGCGTCCAACGGCCGCAGCTGGAGCTCCATGGCGTCGAGCAACCGTGCGGGGAGGGTGGGCGTCGAGGCCGCGATCGGACCTCCAGCGGCAGCTCGAACTCAGCACTGCGTGCGGCGTCGGCGTCGGCGCAGTAGGAGCCCGCAACCGCGGATGAGGAGCTGCTGCGCGGGGAGCTCGTCGTCGGTAGCCGGGAGGTGAGCGCACGGGATGTGCCCTTGCGGAACTTGAAGCGCGCCATCTCGGGGTTTCCCGGGGCCGCGCGAATGAGGCGGCGGCCGACGTCGCCGAGCGGGACGACGCCCGGCCAGGCGGCGTCCGCGGCGGCCTTCATGGTGGCTGACTCGAAGACGAACACGGCGGCCTTGGAGTTGGTGCCCAGGCCCAGGGTGAGCGTGTGCCACG